GGCGTTAGTATTACTGAAAAGCAGGAGGCTGTATATCTGGGAGAAAACAACCCCTGCCTGGGCTTATTGGAATTCTTTTTGCCTTTGGTAGGTAACTTCTGAATCCTATTTGAGGCTGTGACGGAAAGGAGAGCCAGCAGGTTTGAAGCAGAGACTCTCTGCCCTGGTGGTGACAGCGCCCAGCTCTGTCCACTCTGCTCCCTGCTCCCTGTGCACCATGGGCACTGTCTTGAGCCTTTCGCCCAGTTACCGGAAAGCCACCCTCTCTGAGGATGGTTCAACCACAGTGGGGCATTATACTGCAGTCCAGAACAGTAAGAATGCCAAGGATAAGAGCCTGAAGCGCCATTCCATCATTTCAGTGCTGCCTTGGAAACGCATCGCAGCTGTATCTGCCAAAAAGAAAAACTCCAAGAAGGTGCAGCCCAACAGCAGTTATCAGAACAACATTACACACCTCAACAATGAGAACCTAAAGAAATCTCTGTCTTGTGCCAATCTGTCCACCTTTGCCCAGAACCAGGGTGGTCAGCCTACAGCTCCAAGCCACCAGATCTCCAGCTCCAAGGGCACCGTTTCTTCTGTCAAGAAAACACCTCACCCCAGCTGCAACTCATCTGGCACCCCCAAGAGGGTCCTTGTCCAAGCCTCAACCAGTGAGCTACTAAGATGCTTGGGGGCATTCCTTTGTAGACGCTGCTACAGGCTGAAGCACCTTTCTCCCACCGACCCAGTATTGTGGCTCAGAAGTGTGGACCGATCTCTCCTCTTGCAAGGCTGGCAAGACCAAGGCTTCATCACTCCAGCCAACGTGGTCTTTTTGTACATGCTTTGCCGGGATGTCATTTCATCTGAAGTAGCCACGGACCATGATCTTCAGGCTGTCTTACTTACCTGCCTCTATCTCTCCTATTCCTACATGGGCAATGAGATCTCCTACCCACTCAAACCCTTTCTGGTAGAGAGCTGTAAAGAGGCATTTTGGGATCGTTGCCTCTCCATCATCAACCTCATGAGTCCCAAAATGTTGCAAATCAATGCTGACCCACACTATTTCACTCAGGTCTTTGCTGACCTGAAGAACGAGAGCAGCCAAGAAGAGAAGAACCGGCTGCTCATTGGCCTGGATCGGTGAGCTAAAACTCCCCCTCATTCACCCTTTCATTTATCTTGTTTTTATGTTATGTTTCTTTTCTATACAAGCCAGGACACATAGGTGAGACTGGACAGGCCTGAAAGAAATCAGCCACCCACTGCTGGTCTCCACCATTATTACCTTGGCTTCTATGAATCACCACTGACAAAAAAATGAAATGGGTTTGCCTGTTTGGTTTTCAGTTTTGCTGCATGTGATGGATATGGCTTCTTTTCCAGTTTGTAAACCAGGAGAGGGCAAAATAGAGTGGAGAAGCAAGCACCATGATACAGGATCATGGCATCCTTTCACCTTTTGCTTGTCCTAAATACCTTGCGAATTGGGGTGAACTAGCTTGCAGGATTTACTTCTTCACAGTGGAAGGCAGTGGAGGAACATAGTATTTACAATTCTTAAGAAGAAAAAGACCAAATCTAGTAGATGCTCTAGCACCTGGTATTCTAGAAAAGAGATCAAAGAATGGATTTTTAAAAATAGTAATTTAAATATTATTACTTTGTACACCAGTTTCAACAAGATGACATCATCTCAGTACTGGCCTTCAAAAGGGACTCTTACTCCATGACAGTGTGATTATATTGAGAAACAAAAGTGTGTAAGGAAAAGTCAGGAAATATACAAGAGACACACCTCATTTGTATATGATATTGCCACTTGCACCCACTTCATTGGGGGCCTTCCACCTAGGCTCTCTAGGTTTTCTCTCAATATCAGTATCAAAAGATGAAGATGAGACTTGACAATCTTTTCTTGCTAAGGTAGATATAAGCCACAATATGGGTTGGAAGGTGAGATTTCAAAAATAATCCCAGGCAATAGGTACTAGCTGGTATTGATTTGTGGCAAGTAATGCATGTTAATATTTGACTGGTCAAAAATGGTTAATTCTTTTGGGGTGGGGGTGATGTTTGCATAATATAACTTTGCTGTTCAGAACAGACTGACTTTGAGTCCCTTGAGATTTTTCTGAGCATCTGCAATAAAGTTCCCCAATTCAATTATTTATTGAAAAATGCTTAGGCTTATGTTAATAAATGTAAGAAATGGTGCTGAATTTCAGTGTAGAAATGCTTTTCTTCTAAGGGGGTCCTTGCTGCCCCAGCCGGAACAGTATAATTGATGTACATTTAGCCAACCAAAACTCTTCATACTTTATGAAAAATAGTAACAGCCACAATAAGCACAACAAGGAAATCCCGAGGACTGTGAGTGAAGATAAGTTGTAATCTAAACCTGCGGCAGATACGAAATAATTCAGATATTTTGTAGAGTAAAATTGCAGAAGGTTCTTTTGGGCCACAAATCTGTTCCCATGCTTGGAGACATTCTCTTCCACCTTGCAGATTTACAATTATATGTGACCATCTAAGAATTTCAATATTTTTTCCCCACGTTGAACATCTAAATATTTGATTGTTAAATTCTGACGCTTATATATTTATTTTGTTTAGTTCTCTAGTTCCTAAACAGTATGTAAAGGTTAAAATACTCTAATCTTCAGGGATAGTCAAAAGTATATTAAAAAAAAAAAGGATAGTGGGGAGACTGAATTTCCCTCAGTTACTAATAATATGTATTAAATGTCAATAGTCCAGATCTAGGGTTCTGTGGAACATGTGAACTTTTGGAATGGAGGTAATCTCCTTCACTGTTTTAAGTTCTCACAAGCTGGACAGTTAAATAGTATAAAGGCAATAATACTCTGGGGTAAAGAAGGCTGTGGATAAAAGGATAAGTTAGAAATATTCTCGAAAGCTCTTCTAATGCTATTGCTGAGAATGCTGGCATTCTAGCAGATAGCCAGAGGGAGAACTATATTGTGTCTTTAAATAGGATAGCTTGCAATTAACTTAGAAAACAGCAAAGCACTATTAAAAATACAGAAGAACACTAAAAGCTGTGAAATCTGAAAAGGCCAAAGCTAAGAGGCTGCAGTAGATTGGAACCAAAATGCATGTGTTATGATGATTAAGTAGCTGCTGGGTTTGTTCGGCAGGTCTTGTCACTGCTTCAAAAGCTAGGCCAAAATCTGAGCCATTAAGTGAGATACTGTTAAGCTTGCTGTTGAGTTTCTAAAGTAAAATAGAGCCTTAGCATCATAGAGGAAGGGAGGGCTCCTCTACAGATCTCCCCTGCAAACTATTTGCTTCTCTGAAATGGGTGGTATCTATCATCATATCAATCTCCCTTGGAGACCCCAGTTTCTCATTCAGCATTATGGCTGAGTTCTGGAATAATTTACAATAGTGGCTCAGACAAAATTCTGGAATGTGCTCAAAGGGCATCATTCCCCTGGTTGTTAAAAATGACAGCGAATCTTTTTTGCCCTTCCTCTCCTTTTAAATAAAGACAAAAGACTTTAAATAAAAGCAAATCACAGTTGTATTTATATGGATATGAAAGCTTAAAGCTGCAATCCTTTGCATGTTTACATGGAAATAAGTTGCATTCAAAGAATCAGACTTATTTCTGAGTAGGTATGCTTTAGATTGCACTGCATGGGAAGCAAATGTGACTTGGTGGTATAATTGATGTGCAAAACTATCTTGGCTTGAACCTATATATTTACTGTTTTATAGTGGGGGGGGGGAAGACAACTGATGTACTTGATATAGAAGAGGATTGAGTGAGACTTTAATATGCTGCTGTACGAAATGAATCATTTTAGAACAAAATCTATGCTTATGGCAAGAGGAAAAAGAAAACATCCTTTTCTGTCATTCCATTATTGCTTTACAGTAATACTGTGCATGCCAAAAGCAGCATTGTGACTTTTGACAGCAGGTAAAACTTTAGAACACTTGATTGTAAAAAGAAAAAAAAAAGAAACATAACTTACCATCCACAAATTTCAAGCAGATATACTGCTTTCATCCACACCTTCATTTCTTCAAATCAATGTATTTCATCTCAAGACTTCTAGATATTTTCTGATATTAACTGTACACAGTTCTTAATGTTTAGCATTATTCTAAACTATTTTTCTCAAAGGAAAAAAAAAACAAATAGTGTGCCATTTTTTTTCCACTTGAACATTCTTCAAAACTACATTTTGAAAGTGGGGGGAAAAGAAAGCAGGATCTGCTAAATTCTATATGTCTGTGTATGTTAAAGTTTTTGGATTTTTTTTAGCGTTCAATCCCTTCTGTAGATATTTGTTGACCAAAATTGGTGGTATTGCTTATTATTACTTAATTTATAAATGGTCTTTTGTATGTATGTGTACTATAGTGTGTTTCTAAGTATGAGGTTTATAAATATGACAAGACTGTCAAAGAGCTGTGTGTGCCTGTAACTTAATTCCTCCCTATTTTTATTTATTTTTGTATTGCTGATTAAAAATAAAATGCACTGACCATCCATGACACAAATGATTTTCAGAGGATTTTTTAAAAAGCTGTCTATGGTGGGAAGATGACAAGGAAAATAGTGGTAAATAATGGGAGCTTTGGGGAAACAGTTGAATTTATCTTGATACATGACAAGTTTCAACCAATGTGATCTTAAAACTGAGTCAGTTACTTTGATTCGTAGATGTGGGCTCTCAGATGCTATACTTTAAATGAGTACATAATCAAGTCACAAAATAGGTATTTATCTTAACTAACTGCCTGGAAATCTCATGATTTAAACATCAATAAAAACCAGGAGATTATTTTTTTTTTAATGTAATCATGCAATAAAGGAAGTGACAGGGAAGAAGTCTATTACCATAGTTAGCAAAAATGACAATGATTAGTTGAAATTATGACACTGCTTTCTTTTCTTTTTTTTCTCTGAAAAGAGAAAAACAAAATACATTTCAGAAAATGCAGAATCAAACTCAAGTAAATGGAGTTGGGTATAAATGATAGTCCTTTTATTTCAATTACGTAAACAAAAATACATCTTCATTATGAATAGTACTTGTGTCCACATTTCTGTGTAAACTATTTAAAAATATTAATTACATGATTACCTCATTCTTAAAAGATCAGGCATACAATTAAGAAATAGTTAATTTATAGATAAGATCCAGAAATACACATATAAGGTAGAATCCAGTATCATATGAGCAGCTCATACACTTAAGAGTTTCTTCCGTCTGGAAACCCTTGCCCAGTTCTCTAGGCTCCCCTGCTGACTGGGTGCTCTGCAAAGCACAATGTGGAGGAGGAATTTCCTCTTCCTGTTTTGGTAGCAGAAACTACCTTTTTAAAAAAATCAAACAGAATAATGTATCTGCTCCCCCAACAACCATACACACAAATCAAGAAAGAAAGAAATACTGTTAATTCATTTAAATCAAAATACTTCATTACACATTATGTAATCAACTTAATAGATTTGTATCTTGGTATGGAAAGATTTCATCTTTCATACAGTTTTCATAAATTTGGTCATCATTCAAATCCAGCCTTTATTTTGGGATATTAAATAAAAGTGCTAATTTTATATCTTCTGAGGCTAATTTAGCTGCTTTGAAACTAAACGCTTGAAGGCAACCAGGGATTTTAGGCAATCCATTTCTCTATTGGTAGTAGAGATAGGACCAGATACTCAGTCTAGCTGGATGGACTGATCAAAAGCTAGCTTGCTTTTTGGTTGGAATGGAGGATTAGGCTCTACCGCTTGCTTTCCATCATGAATGTGCTGCCATTTGGGGGGATATGGAGAAGAGAACACATGAAGAGATTTCTACAGTTACATTGATCTTCCAAGGCAACTCATATTCTGCTTGTAAGTTCTACCTGCCCTGTATTTCATTCTGCCTAAATAACAGCCTGATGGTTTTGGGCTGGGAATCATGGGATTTAGAATGAGATTCCCTACCTGGAAGGCACTTGGTTGAAGAAGTCCTTTTAAGAGCACTTGGAGATACTAGAAGATTGGGCTCATCAATGGAAAAAGAAAGGGAAAAGAAAGGCATAGAGATAGTAATAACGTTCATTGAAAAGCTAATTTGAAAAGAAGAGCAGTAACTCATCTTGGGCAGAGGCAGATAATCCTATTTAGGAAATGAGCCATATTTAAGAATGACTCAGAAGCAAGCAGGACTTCTTCTAACTAGCTAGTTAAGCAACATTTGTTTGCCATTTTGTGCCCCAGCTCACAGAAATGGTAAATGCTGCCTTCTCACACTTAAAACAAAAACAGGCTTACTGAAGCAATTAGCTCTACCATCATTGCTTTATTCTTAGGTTGCGTGCAGTTATAGTTACTTAAGTCCTGACCTGTCCAGCAGTGTCAGGTTTACAACTATTTACCTTTAAACGGCCCAAAATAGCAATCTCCTCCCTTAAGATGCTCTCCATCAATGTTTGAAGACATGTGTTTTTTTTGGGGGGGGGGCACAAGAAGAAACAAAGGCCTGTTAACAAGGCTATAACTACACCTCAGCAGAGGGCTGTACAAGCAGCAAAAGGCAACTACAAGTCTAAGCTGGCCAGAATAATGCCAGCTGCTCAAAGCACATTAATGATATACTGGCCCAACCTTTGGGCTCCAATGCTTGCAATTGGAGTGCCATCAACAATCAATCATTGAGAATCTGAGCCAAGCTGAATACTGAAAGGAAAGGGGGGGATGGGAAACATATTTTTTTAAAATTTGTAACCTTTATTATTTTTACAAATAAGGCAGCGGACATATCCCACCCCTTCTCCTATTTTTCTCTCAACAACCTATGAAGTGAGTTGAAGAGAGAGGAGGGGGGGGGGAAGGGGGGGGAGAGGGGTGGGGGAGAGAGACTGGCTCAAAGTCACCAAGGTTGCTTTCATGGCTAAGGTGGAATTAGAACTCACAGTCTCCGGTTTATGTTAAAAGCCAGACCCACCGAGAGATTATATAAGAATACAGTGTAAGTTCAACAAGACTTTGAGTTGCACAATAGGACCCACCCAACAAAACAATGAATCCCCAACCTGAATACACACAGAGTGTCAAAGGAAACTTCCTTGGAAAAAAGACTGAAGGGATGGAGTAGCTTTCAGGGAAATAATTTCCAGCCTCTTGTAACTATCTTATAGAAAATCTCTTTCCCCCCAAATATAGCTCCCATTTATAAATTAAGATTTGGTGTTTGTAAATCCAGAGTGGGTCCTTCTGTTTCTTCTCATACAAACGTTTGGTTCCTCTATTGCAGTCTCAACTATTAGCTCTACAATAATTTTATATATCTGGAGAATTCATTAATAAAAGCTACTTTGGTACACAGTGGATCATACAATAATTTAAAATCATAGTTGGCTTAATGGAGGAAGCATTTCAAGTTCTCAGTTCATTAATAATGTCTAGATTTGTGTCGCAGACCAATACTTTCATACTCCTCCCTCCATAAAACTTAAGGCACTAAGTTTGAAGACATCAGTAGACTGTGGAAGGATGCTTAGCGACAAGAGTAAAATTAATTCTCAGGAACCCAGAGGATGAAACCTGTTCGATCCTTGATGAAGTTTGGCTCTGATTGGTTAATTTTGGTTTTCACTGAGATGCTGCATTTTCGCCCATGCATGCTGCACTGGACAGGGTTAGTGACGTTTACTTGCAGATGACGGTTTTCACTGTAGGTAAAAAGAGAGTAATGAAATAAAAAGGATTAATTCTCAAGGGGAGATGATTAAAGGAGGCTACGGCCCACTACCAGGCTTTGAGCTGTTCAGAACCGGGTTGTGAAAGTGGGCAAGCATGCACACGCATTCCCACTTGTGTGAGCAGCGGGGAGTGTGCACACTCCATTTGCACAAATGGTGGCCAAGCAAGCCCACTCCTCATGCAAATGGAGCTGAGCATGTACACTTGCTCACCACTCACATGGAACCATCCCTTCCTCCCCCCTCACACCACCGGCCTGCAAAGCCAGAACTTTGGGGAAGTCTGGATTATACAAGAATATATTGTAGAGGGGGAAAAGGAGACAACGAATCTACACTTGGGAAGGTTGCAAGGGATACCACGTGCGCTTTCATAATTATAGAAAACACCACTGCTAAATATCAATCATTATCTTCAACCTGAGAAGCACCTTGGGAGGCCATGACTAACAGGCAGAGATTACAGCAGATTAGGCAAATGAAAAAAAAGGAAGAATTACTTTAGTCCCCTATGATAAGGTCTGGCATTTTGTGTTGTTGGACAACTGTAACATAAGCGTTCCTTGGTTTGAGATCCGAAAAATTATAGACAGAAAACCCATACAGAAAGAGCAGGAACAAGGCTCTTCGCATATCATCACCTCCAATAATTATAATTACAATATCCCCCACCCTCACTGTGAGTGTGCTATGAAAAAGCTTACAGGATTCCCTTGAAATGTTTGCAAGGGGGAGAAGACGAACAATCAAGTGGATTCTGAATACAATTACTCTTTTGCTTGACCCTTTTCCCCTTGCAGAGTGGAAGGGATTTCAAGAGAGTAAGCTGTTTGCTATTCTAGACATTGAAAGCAATGTGATTGCACTGGCAAAGTCAAAGGAGAGACAGTCCATAAAAATCACTTGCCCTTTTTCTCCCCCAACACCTCATAGACTGGAGAAATTGGAGAGAAAGAGATTTCAACCTGTTTGCATATTTTGTCCATATTTCCCTACCCTAGGCTGTCAGCAAGACTGGACTGCTTTTAATTCAAGATAGGAAGCAGGCATTCAGGCATTCCAAATGGCAGGAGAATGCTAACAAAAGAATGGCAACAAAAGTCAAAGGTGTGAAACTGAGTACTGCAATCTTGTCTTTTTCCATCAGGAATGTTAAATGATTTCCCACTTAGTGAGCGCTTCACTTAGTTGCTGGTCCTATAATTTATACCTCATTTCTTAAGTACTGTGGGTAAAATGAAATGAAAGTCTCCTTTAAAAAAAAGACAACAGATCAGTTGATTAAATATCAATAACTTTTAAAAGCTCTTCTATAATTTTTTTGAAAAAAAAAAAAGAGAGGATTACTCAGGGAAAATGGATACATTCCAGTTTTTCATTTTTTAAATTAATGTTAATTACCAAAATAATTAATGTTCAAAAATGCAGGAAATGTAATAACAATTTTTCTATATTTGGCAGAAATGTTTATAAACTCAACAATTTGGGAAGATACTTCAGTGCAAGATGAAACAGGTTTTTTTTCTAAGCAGGGCTTAACAGAAAAATTAGTTATCCTACAAAATATACAGAGCTGCCCCTGTCCATGATAACAGCTGCTAGAATAGTTTCTTTCTTTCTGAGAATTACATATAATTCCTTCTTAATAGTGAAGTAAACTATGGGAATATGTATCAATGTAAAAACAATCAATTTTGTATTTCTTTTTAAAAAATTATGACACTGAATTTAATTGAACCTGAAAATAATTTATGGACTTTAATGCTTCACATGGACTTGAACTACATCCAAAAGTTTATCCTATCATAAGATTTTGCCTGATTTGTTATAAGGACATATTTCTTCAGATAAGACTGAAAGTCCTATTAATTGCTAGTAGCATGTTGGTAGTCTTGGCTAATACTGATTATTGATTTGATTTTGACAATGGCCTTAAATTGCCAAATCGATGCACAATCACTTTTATGCTACTGTAATATTGATTATGGGTAATCTTACCTTAGCGACTACCTCATTTAGATGCCATTCAGTTACATTGATGAAAAAGTAACTTTATGACCAATCCTCAAATTTACCACCTTTGAAGGTCTGTGAAGCAAAGATCATAGGCGTAGTTGCTGTTTCACTTAACAATCAAGTTGCCAATCCCAGTTGTGGTCACTAAACGTGGACCATCTCTATTTCATTTTATGCAGTTTGTAAATCAATTTTCTATGTATAGAAAACTCTCCCTGCAGTTTTCTTGGCAAAATATTCAGAAGTCCAGAATGTCCAGATGTTGAGGAGATTCTTTGCCTCCTTCCTAGAGAAGGTGACTGGCCCATGATCACCCAGCTGGCTTTATACCTAAAGTAACTCTCCCAGTTTTTAGCCTGGTCCCTTAAACTGACTCTAATTTCTTTACAGACCCTTTCTTTTTCAACTTCTTAATTGCTTTTTGAATACATGTTGTAATAAAAGAAAAATGAGAACAGATCTTTTAAAACATACTTTTTAAAAAGCTTTCACACTTTTTTTAACTTTTGTAAACCAGACCTATATTACTAGTATATTATTATTATTGTGCTTTTCATCAAAATTATAATTCTTTTCTTCATGCTTTCATTCTTTTTCCTAGTATACCTGGTACTTAGTTTTTTTTTTTAAAAAAACTTTTGTTTAAAATTCTAGGTGGAAAGTTTCATTAAATTCCATGGGCCCATTTCTGACTAAATCGCATTGTGCTCTTAATATTAAATATCTGATTGTGGTGATAGATGTGCCAAGTGACAGCAACATTAGAAAGGAGTATAAAAAGTTGAAGAAGTACCAGGGCCTGAAGGAGGAACTGGTGAGTATGTGGAAACTAAAAATAGCAATAGCACTTAGAGTTATATATTGTTTTACAGTTCGTTACAGCCCTCTATAAGTGCTTTTACAGAGTCAACATATTGCCCCCCCCCTAATCATTTTACCAACCTTGGAAGGATGGAAGGCTGAGCCAACTTTGAGCTGGTGAGAACAGAACTGCCAAACTGCTGGCAGCTGGCAATCAACCAAAGTAACCTACAGGACTGCATTCTAAACGGTGCATCATCACAGCTGATAAAGCCAAAGTGGTCCCAGTGGTGGTAGGAGCACTTGAGGCTGTGACTCCTAAACTGGAAGAGTAGCTCCAAAAGATCCCAGGAATGGTATTAGAGCTCTTTATCTGGAAGAGTGCAGTGTTAGGAACAGCTGAGATACTGCATAGAACCCTCAAACTCTCAGGCCTCTGGCAGACAACCAAAAATTGAGGAAGACACATAAAACAGCAAAGTCATTCCTTGTCCACGTTTAATATTTCTTTAGTTACACCACACTAAGCTGCATCAAAAATCCCTGCTTAATCTGCTATTTTTGCAGAGCATTAGCAGACTTAGGTGCAGTAAATGCACCTTAAAGTCACAACAGATCACTGGTGCTTAGAGAGACAATATAATGTAAATTACTGGCAATGAGGTCAGGATAACAAAGCACTTTGTCCTCTCAAGAAAATTTTTGCAGATTCATTTGCAGATAGCCACTTGTCCATAAACAAGTTAGTAAGCTCTTGCCTTGCAAGAGTTCAGAAGTGAATCATCCTATGTACATAAAGAGAAGTTAGCTTTCTGTTTACCACTATTGCTCCGTCTCAGGTCAACTTGTTTCCCCTGTTTACAAAAACAAGCGGTGAAAGTTACTTTACTATCCTTGAAGTAAGGATGAAAAATAAACATTTGCTTTTCTACTTTATGCATTTGGCTCCTTCCAATTAAAAAACATATTTTAAAGTTTGTTATATCCATGTATATTTCTGAGGCGAGGTCACAATTTGCAAAACAGAAAAAGAACTGTAGCAACAATAAGCATAACCACAAAAGGCTTTCAGCAACATCTGACTTTTGAAACATTGCTTCATTCTTGATGATGGAAATGGATGTTTCAGAAATGAAATTCAAGCCTAGACAGAGCTCTTTATGATAGTCTTCCCTGATATAGTGCTTTTCAATTGAACTATTGCTTTCATCACTTCCAGCCATACCTTTCAAAGTTTATGGTTTACATTTCACTAATTAACTTCAAGGATACATATTACCAGTTCTATGACTAGGTATTTGCTTTTGCTTCTTGACACAGTGAAATTATAGCAACAAGCAATGCAGATGAGAATACTGTATACTCTCATGGTGGGAGGGAAAGGTAAGATGTCTAAACTGACTTGTTCTGGTACAACTTCCCAGCCTGATGTCTGTTTGTTACTAGACAAATCAATTCTAATTTCTGGAGATTTAAATTACACTACATTTGTTTCATAATATTTGTTATAATAGGCCAATCTGCTCTACCTGGAAATAAGACACCACTATAAGAAGTAGGCTCATAATATGGGGATGCTCACTGCTCATAACTTGTCAGCTTTAAATTTCCCATGCCTTTAACCATATCATATAATCTGCCTGATGCAATTCTGCAAAACCACAACATATACACATGGAGCTTTCCTTGAGAACTGGCCATTTTTAACATGCCCATTCTACTATTGCACAAAGGTTAGCAAACAGTTTGGGGGACACTTCAAACTGTTGGCCAATACCTATAAAGTCCTAAATGGTTTATGACCAAACAGTATGAAAAAAATGCTTTTCCTCCAAACATTTCTGATTTCATGGTTAAAATGATCTGCAGGGGTTTTCTTCAAGTTCGCCACCTGCAATGATAGATTGGTAGATAGACAGATAGACACCCCTACCTACCTATCCAAGAAGATCTGCTTGGTGTCAACTAGAGAAAAAAATTAAATGTGATAATTGTTGTGGTTGTTATTTTGTGTTTTGTCTATAAGCTCTCAAGAATTGTGTGGCATCTAAAATAAATAGGTACATCTGTTGTGAACATCTTATATGAATATAAATTCCACTGACTGTAATAGAGTAGCGCATAGTAGATTTGTCTCATTTAAACTGTATTGT